CTGTGAAGTGGGAAAGAATAGGAGTTACGGATAATTATTACGTTAAGCGTTCCAACATTCACGTAACAGGATAATTGGTAGGAAAGGATTGTGGAGAGGATCATCTTAATGTGATGATTAATATGAATAATTTAACTCAACACGCAAAGAAATACTAACCACTACGTACAAAGCAGTAATCCGATCCAAAATGGACTACGGAGCAACAATATACGGATCAGCAGCAAAAAGCACACTCAAACCACTAGACTCCATCCAAACTACTGCCTGAAGAGTAGCAATCGGTGCATTTCGCACTAGCCCAAGTTTGAGTATTCTTGCTGAAAGCGGTGAACTACCTCTACACATGAGAAGAACTACGCAAATACTAAAAAATTTTATTAGCAAAAAAATACATAATAATTACTTTATATTTTTGAAGTGATTACTTCATTATTAAGAAAATAAACTTTTTTCTATTATTATGTGCGTCATTCCCATAATATTATAGAAACCATTCCCATAATATATTGAAGGTATTCCATTATTGTATAGGAACGTTTCCAATAAATTATGGATATGGTTCCCATAATGAGTATAGGATTAATGCCTATAATGATAATTTTATTATAGGATCCATTCCCATAATTGTTGGAAAGATTCCTATAAATTTCTCTCCGTGTAGTTATTATACATTTAAGTAATTTGTAAAATAATTAAGTTCATTTTTTTGTACAGTGACAACGCATATGAGTTATTGTCTATAATATTGGAATACTTTGAATGTGAATCCACGCAGTCCAAGCTAACAAAATATTTCTAAGGGTAACGTTACTGCCATCGTCAAACAAAGGCAAAATCAACCGCAATGCCAACTGCAAGCGAACACGATGAACGTCAACCTGCTGAGGGATCGTTACCTCCTATTATAGCACCTCCAAAATTGACAATTTACCAAGCCTTGAACTTCATTGGCCGAGTAGGAATTCGCTATCAAAACAAACCAGAACAATATGCGTTGTTTTTACACACGTCGACTAGTTATGTGCACGCGCAGGCGGTAATAGCAGAGGCACACGCTCGTAGAATTTCTCTTCCTCAGGGTTTTGTGATTCCAACAATACATTCTATACTTTCTAAATGTTGTGAAATTTTAAAAAATGAGCCGGATCTTTTGGCGGAGTTCAAAGTGTACTTTCAACCAATAACTGCTAATTCGGGAAATTAAAAATGAGGAATGTATTGTCTGATACACAATTTTAAATGCATTCCAATATTTTGATGTTTATTCTTCTTGGTATAATTTTCATGGTAAAATTTATATTGTAATATGATAATTTAACTTTTTTATTAATATAAAATGTATGGAAAAATTAAAAGTATTATGTAATCTTCATTTAATTTTTTACAAGTCAATAATTTATGCATGAATAATGTGAAGAAAATATTTGCTAAACTCAAAACAAACATTTTTTGTGAATATTGTTAGTTTTATTTATAATTAATTTTTGAATTAAGTTTTGAAATGTAAAACAATGATCTCACAATATAGCTTCAAGAAGTTTATAATAAAAATAATTATCGTTTACACTAACTATAAATTTTTTTATTCCGATAGTTATAAGTTATAACAAGTATGTTGTAAGTACGATAAATCATTTTAAGCTATAAATCGTTGAATTAAAATGTTAGTGCATAGAATTAAAAGAAAATTTGAGAATAAGTATTATTTCTTTAATGATGATCATACACACGAAGAAGCTTACGCTTTGTACAGTGACAACGCATATGAGTTATTGTCTATAATATTGGAATACTTTGAATGTGAATCCACGCAGTCCAAGCTAACAAAATATTTCTAAGGGTAACGTTACTGCCATCGTCAAACAAAGGCAAAATCAACCGCAATGCCAACTGCAAGCGAACACGATGAACGTCAACCTGCTGAGGGATCGTTACCTCCTATTATAGCACCTCCAAAATTGACAATTTACCAAGCCTTGAACTTCATTGGCCGAGTAGGAATTCGCTATCAAAACAAACCAGAACAATATGCGTTGTTTTTACACACGTCGACTAGTTATGTGCACGCGCAGGCGGTAATAGCAGAGGCACACGCTCGTAGAATTTCTCTTCCTCAGGGTTTTGTGATTCCAACAATACATTCTATACTTTCTAAATGTTGTGAAATTTTAAAAAATGAGCCGGATCTTTTGGCGGAGTTCAAAGTGTACTTTCAACCAATAACTGCTAATTCGGGAAATTAAAAATGAGGAATGTATTGTCTGATACACAATTTTAAATGCATTCCAATATTTTGATGTTTATTCTTCTTGGTATAATTTTCATGGTAAAATTTATATTGTAATATGATAATTTAACTTTTTTATTAATATAAAATGTATGGAAAAATTAAAAGTATTATGTAATCTTCATTTAATTTTTTACAAGTCAATAATTTATGCATGAATAATGTGAAGAAAATATTTGCTAAACTCAAAACAAACATTTTTTGTGAATATTGTTAGTTTTATTTATAATTAATTTTTGAATTAAGTTTTGAAATGTAAAACAATGATCTCACAATATAGCTTCAAGAAGTTTATAATAAAAATAATTATCGTTTACACTAACTATAAATTTTTTTATTCCGATAGTTATAAGTTATAACAAGTATGTTGTAAGTACGATAAATCATTTTAAGCTATAAATCGTTGAATTAAAATGTTAGTGCATAGAATTAAAAGAAAATTTGAGAATAAGTATTATTTCTTTAATGATGATCATACACACGAAGAAGCTTACGCAAAAAAAATGATTCAAAAATCAACAGTCGTCTTTCAATTTTTTTGATTTATATAATTAAGTTATTATATAATATAATATAATTGTTAACAACTAAATTATTATGAAGAAATTCCATGTCTAAAAATTATAAGTGCAAATTTTTTAAAATATTTTTTTAACATAATTGATGTGTTATACCAATAAGAATTATGATAATTATTAGATATCTGTTGATTTTAATATCATCAAAAAAATTATAGTCTAGTTAGTATATAAGCACTTATAAGATGGATATATCGCATTCTTAAAGGTATTATTCCTTCTATTGCTAATTTTAATTAAACACTTTGACAAAAACTGATGACATTGAAAATGTATTGGAGTTTATGAAAATAAAGTTAGCAGACAATTTTAAGAATTTTTATTATTGAAAAATTTAAAACAAAAAATTTTTTTTTTAATTCCACATGTGGAAAATTTAGAAAACAGTGCATTCAATTTTTTATATTTTTTTAGTTCTAATTTAATAAAAAAAAATTGTTGGATGTCTGCTAATTTCAATATAATTTAGAGTTTTTCTATTAATAACTTAACAACAAATAATGACAAAATTAATTAAAATTAATAATAATAAAGTTAGCCGACATTTTTAATTTTTGATTATTTTTCAATAGTTAAATCAGAACAAAAAATATTTTTTTTAAATTGCACTGACAGTTTTTCAAGTTTTTTGCAAATGAAGTTTAAAAAAAATTTTTTTGTAATAATTTTTTCAATGAAAAAAAATTTTTAAAATTTTCATGAAAATTAAGTTAGCCGACACTCAAAAATTTTTGATTATTTTTAATTAAAATCTAGAACTAAAAAACTATTTTTAAAAAATTTCACGGATAATTTTTAAAATTTTCTACATGTGAAAATTTTTATTTTAATTTTTTAAAAATTATTTCTCAATAATATAAATTATCAAAATTTCCAAATGTCGGCCAATTTAATTTTCATACAAAATTGATACAAAGTGCATCGATGATTTATTATTTTGGCAACTTTTGATTGAATTTTTAAATTTAATGACGTTAACCCTCTGTACAATCGTCGAACAAACAACTTTTATTTTATCAACTGATAAGTGAAATTTTACGCGTTCTTACTTCCTCTGTTGATAAGATGGGATACTAACATTATAATCTGTGATGTATGTTTTTTTTCTTTTTAATTACCTAACCTTCAGTTCAAAATGGCAGCATCTTCAAGCATGGAGTGTGGGGATTTTTTGGAATTTCAGGTATTTTTACAAAAAAAAAAAAAATTGCACATCAAATTTAAGTTATAGCAATTTAAAAATATTATTCTTATTTTTTATGTATTAATGAAGGAGGTTATCTCATATTATATTTTAAAAAATATTTAATCTTAGATAACCTCTATTTCACAGTGATCCTAAAAAAAATTAATGAAATAGATTTTATTAAATCCTTTGAATTAATAATTTTTTTTTAAATTGTGCGCTGTAAAAGTCATAAATTTTCTTTTATCAATTAAAAACTTGAATAATTTATTAGTTTGTTAAAATCATTACTTTTTTTTAATTATTTGCCGGCTTTATTTTGACGATTTGATTTTAGAATTTAAGAACATAACAATAAATTTGATTACTAATAAAGCTATTATTTTATAATACTAAAGTTAACCGAGATTTAAAAATTTTTTTTCAATTATTAAATTAGAGCTAAAAAATATTTTTTTTTTAAATTCCACTCATAGTTTTTCAAGTTTGTTAAAAATGAAAAATTTTCCTTTATTTTTTTAACAAAAAAAAAAGTTCTAAAAATTTTTAGATGTCGGCTTACTTGATTTTCAATGTTATTTTTATTTCAGGACTCTTTACAAAAGATGAGACAGATAGATGACAAAATAATTTACTTATTAAATACAACTATTCCTACGGAATCATTTCGGGGTCAAGTAGATGCTACTTCTAAATGTAAAGATTTATTCCAACAAATTCAATCAGGCCATTCACAAAGGGAAATTGCAATTAAAAAGTGTATGGATTCATCACGTGAAAAGGTCAAACGATTGAAAGAAGAAAAAGAAAAAAAACCCGATGATGTTTCAGTGCTTAAATCATTAAGACAAGAACAAACAACTTTGAGGCTGTTGGAATCTGAATTAGGTGTTGAAGAAGTAGTTAAAAATCGTACCAATCAAATTTATATGGCTAAATGTCGTGGGTATTATAAACCAAGTACTTAGAATTTTTTAATAAAGTACGTTTTTTTTTTTTTTTTTTTTTAATAACGTGACGAAAATATAAACTTTTTATTATTGAATTAGTAGCAACAAAATTTTATTTCAAAATGTTAATATAAAATTTTTTTGTTTTATGAAAAAAAATGTTGCAACTCCAATAAACATTTTATTGATAATAACCACATAATGATGTTAGACAACTAATAAAATATGTATATTGTAAAAAAACTTGAAATCAATTTTTTTTATAAAAAACATAAACTGTAAATAAATAAAATCACAAAAAAAAAAAAAAGGGATATTGCAGCAGAAATGATCAATTTTTATAGTTTTCATTGAATAAAAATAGTTATATTGTTAACTTGTAGCACATTGAAAATTATTATTATTATTAACCTGCTTACTATAATTTAATAAAATTCTATAAACAATATTTATTTGTTAGCATCGTGTTTCACACTCTCTCTAAATTCAGCCGTTATCTGTCGGCGGAAGTCATCATGTTGGGCTTTCATTTCTTCCATTTTGTCCTTCTTTTTCAAATTACCCATAATGACAATTGTTAAACAACTTAGAGCTGTTAAAGCCATCATATAATTAGCTAGGCGGATTCGGGCTTTACTCATACAATTTTGCATCACCTCTGCCCTACAATTAAGAAAACAATCATTTAATTATGAATTGAGTATCCCAACTTTTGATTTTTCACTCGAGTAAATGACTGAGAACTTGAAAAAAAACTTCAGGTGATTCAACATTCAATAATCCAAATTACAATAAATTCTTTACTATTTGTTAACAAAATTGGCCTTATAACTATTGGATATTAATATTTAACGAAAAGTTGCGGATTTTTATATAATTTAGACATCAAATAAATTACTGATCTTAAACAACCTGAACATTCATTATTATTAATATTAAAATTAATAAAAATCATTTTTAGTATAAAATAGTTAAGTTTCCCTCTAAGCAATAGAAAATTAATATTTATAAGTTACAAAAATTATTTTAATTAAGTTTGAGTTATTACTTACGAAATTTTATCAGGTACATCTTTTACACTGGGATACTTTTTTGCGAAAACCAAAATTCTTTTTTCGAAATTTGAAAGATGATGTTCATTAATTACTGAAATTTAGAAAATATTGAATTATTAAAGTCTTTACTGATTTTAATTTAATTAATAAAATTTTCATGATATTAAAATTAGCAAACACTTGACAATTTTTTTAATTTTTTTTGAATAAAAAACTAGGGCTAGAAAATTATTTTTAAAAAAATGTATTTATAATTTTTTAAAGCTTCTAAAGATGGAGGTTTTAGAAAAAATGTTTTCTTGCTATAGTTTATTTGTTAAGAACTTTATAAAAATTATCAGGTATCTCTCAATTTCAGTGTCAAATTTTTTTATTAATTAATGGAAAAAGAGTAAACGTTATTACCATATTTAGCGTCAGATGCTTCCTGAGGCTTTGCTCCTGAGGTTGATGGTTCTGGTTTAACATTTCGTAGAATAGAATTGGTTCTAAATCCTCTGACAGTTCTTACAAAAGGACGTACACGAACTAAAAACCCTGACATTTTTCTGAAAAAATATTACTTAGTATTAATCATTACAGTATAAATAATTAGTATAGTAAGAAATTCTATTGATTGTCAGGATAATTGAAACTGAAAGTATTTTTTTTTAATTATTAAAATTTATTTGGAGCAGAATTTTTTTCTAGCACAAAATATTAAAAAAAAAAATTTAATAATATTAATAACATGAAAATGAATATATACTTATTATACTAATTAATTATTATATACTTATATTAAGTATATAATTATATACTTATAATTAAAATTTTTGTTAAAATATAATAATGATGAAAAATGAAAGAAAATTATATCACCCAAAATTCGTGTTATATTTTGGATTGCTTTGTTATTTAATCAACAATTATAAATTATAATTAAATAAAAGTAAGTTAATAGTTATAATAATTATGTTATAACAATTATACGTACATAGATAATTATATTATACATACAAATAGGTAATTAGTTTCTAGTCATAAATTTTCCAATGAAAACAACTATAAAAACTAATTCTCGTGAGATTTGTTCCAATCTGTTTGCTCACGTATTTACTGACGTTCTCACATTGGATGTTGGATAGATGATAGATGTTCATCAGCACGTACACAAATAACAGTGACGTATGACATAACTTTTTACCTTTTTACCCTCAATAATTTATTTTTTTCTAGAAAGATTCAATAAAAATGAAGAAGCTAAGAATCAAAGAAGTGTCAAATAATTCTATAAATATTTTACTTGATAAAAATTCTATTTAAAATTTACTAAATTCAATTTATTTTTACGAATTTCAGTTTTTTATATTTTTAGATAATATATTTATTTCGATGCCGTCAATTATTCATCTTTACCTTGATGCGATTTTTCTTTATAAAGTAATTTTTTTTTTTTTTAATTCTATAAAACAATTCTATTTTAATTCTATTAAAAACAAACTGTTCTTTAACTTGTTTCAGTTTAAACTATTATTTATTTATACACCTTCTTAACATTTATCAATAATTACGTTCTTGTTATATGAATATTATAAAACAAACAATTATTTTTTATATCTATGTAATTAGAATAACATAAGAAGATAAAATTATTTATTTAAATATAATTCGTTTAAACTTAGATTAAAGTTTAAAAAATATAGGAATATCAGATATAATTAGTAAGTTACAAAAATATTAAAAAAATTAAAAAAAAAAGTATGTTTTTGTTCCTTTAATATCGATAAACTTTGAGAAAGTGTATAAATAAATAATAGTTTAAGTTGAAACAAATAAAAAACAGTTTGATTTTAATATTTTATATAATTAACAAAAAATTACTTTATAAAAAAAAATAAATAATTTCCCATTAAATAAGCGATTTTTTGTTTTATTTTAGTAATCAATATTTATATATTTTAATAAATAAAAACAATAAATATTTTCAATAAGAATTATTCTTATTTAGAATAAAAAGGTTGTGTTTGAATTTAGATTATATAATTTAAATTTCCTTCACCGCCAGTTACCTAAAAAAATTTACCTTACCGACAACTAATTTCTTACTTATGACTTAGAAGACTTAGAAGACAGATCAATTGTCGTTCTTTTGTAATGTTTCATGGGTTACAGTTTAATTTTTTTCATAAATATGATATTTAAATGTTTTAATGTGTGTATTTTATTATATAGAATTTACTATTATTTGACATATATTAAGTGTTATGTATGAAGTATTAAATGTATATAACTTTTTAAAGAGCAAGTTACTTTTTGAATTCCTTTACAATTATTACATTGGCTACATTTCTGTTCGGATCACTCAGATGACCCCGATTTTCTCATCTCTCCGGTGTTTTTAACTTTTTAGCGCTAAAACCATAGTTTCATAACCTTCAATATTTTTGTTTATTTTTGAATTTGTTTACATTGAATTGCATGTACATTTATCAAATAACTGTAAATATTTAAATATAAACAATTCTACAATTTTACTAAATTGATAATTTAAGAAAAAAAATTTCACAATTGTAAAAAATTTATTTAAAAAAATATTAATTTAATAACTCGTGGTAATTGTATTAAATCAAAAATGAAGGTAAGTTACAAATTACATTTATCAAATTATATAATTAAATTTTAATTTATGTGATTTCTTTTATTTGGTTTAGGCTAAAAAGGGACATATTACTCGAAAACAACGTTTGGCAAAAAAAGAAGTCGAAGCCAAAGCACTTGTAGACAAAGCGAACTCTCTCGTTGATCCTCTCTCATTATTGGATTCATTTAAATCTTTTACAGCAACTAATAATGCCAAGTTTAATTTAACATGTCAGAAAATTAAAGATTTATCGCCAGAATTATTATCATGGATTTTTGATTTAATGGAGCGAAATATGAAGACTTTATACGAACAATCTCATTGGGGATGGAATCAAAGTTCTAAACAAAAAGAATTGACTGAACCCACGGCTTGGTACTTAATTGCATTTTTAAATGAAGAGCCAGTTGGATTTTCACACTTTCGTTATGATTTAGATGATAAAGTTGAAGTTTTGTATTGGTAAACTATTTATTAACAGTAGTCATAATTTGGAGTATATATATATATATATATATATGTGTGTTAATCTATATTTTTTCTTTATAGTTATGAACTGCAATTAGAATCAAAAGTCAGACGACAAGGTCTTGGGCGTTTTATGATGAATACTTTAGAAGCGTTATCAGCTCAAAGTGCCATGAAAAAAGTTGTTCTCACAGTTTTGAAACACAATCCCGATGCAAAAACATTCTTTCAATCATTAGGGTATGTATAAAAAATAAAAATAAATAATATAAAATATTTGCAAATTTCTAAAGATTTTTATTTAGAAAAGCATATTTGTTAATATTTTATAAAATATTTTCTTGGAAAATAACTCAATTAATTAATTACTCTACAATTGTCAATAAGAACTTATATGTAAATATTATTAACTATTTTTAATTATAATCAATACTGTTTCAGTTATAAAGTGGACACAACAAGCCCATCCGATTGGGAAAATCTAGATTACTTAATTCTAAGTAAATAAAATATCACCAATTGTCATCATCTGCTACTACTTTTGTAAGCATACAAAAATTCCATTTAAAATAAAAAGATTATTAGTAATTTTTACATTATTACATTATTGTTTTGCAATAGTTAATTTTCTTTTTATCAATGGAATTAATTAATATTTCTTTATCATGATTATAATAAAATAATATAAATATTCTCTTTATACAATTTAAGACTGTGTTTTGTGGAATAAAATAGCTGAAAGTTGATGAGGACATAAATTAATAGTTGGTGATTTAAGTGAAGGTCCTACATTACTAAAAGTTAAAGGTGCTTCACTAATGGTCCAATCTTCAATAAAATTGAAAAATTTAGTTAGGTTTATTTCTCCATTATTTGATATATTAAAACGACTGGAGATTAATTCCTCGCTCCAACAAATATCAATAGGTTCACGATGCAATACCATACCAACACCTTTACCTGCACCTTCAGGTACTGGAAAAACACGAAGGTTAACAATTGATAGATCTACAGGAAGGTCAAAACGAAGCGGTGAAAAATGGCCATTATAATCTATGTCTGACGACGGATGTGGATGCATAGCAACAAGAGGATGTAAAAGTTCTTCTGACGCTAACAATCCACCAATAGAAAGTATTCCTGCAGGATGATTAGGCACAGGTGAACTACTGCAGGATTGTTTCTTTTTTTCTAAGACTAGCATAAACTGATGATTCGTCAGTAAATTATCAATAACTCCTTGCTCGAGACCACGTCGATCATCTTGCATTAATCTGCGGTCTTGCATTATCTGCAAAAAAAAAAAGTAATTAATCTGTTATAAATTGTTCTAATATCCCAGTTTATACGCTGAGAAAAAAAAATTTTCTTGGCTCAAGAATCGTTTAAAATAAATTTTGGTTTTTTGGCTAAAGAATATCAATATCTATCATGATAATAAAATATTGGCATTAATTTTGATAGATTAACAAACGAATAGGTTCACTTGAATTGAACAAAAAATAATTCGATTAATTCGATTAATTCTTGAAACAAGAAAATATATTCTTGAAAATTATCAAGAATATATATTTTTGTGACAAGAAAATTTTCTCAAGAGTAGTACTTTTTTTTTCTCAGTGTAGAAATATAATTTAATATTAAGTCAAAGCACTCACTTCAAATTGTCCAGAAGCCATTGATGAAGCTCCTAAAGGTTGTCCAGTTATAACTGTTAATCGTACTTTTTTGTCTTCAATATAACCAGCTGCTGGAAGGGGATAATAATTCGCTTGAGTGGGTAATTTTGGAAATCTTTGACGCTTAATCATCTGAAAATAAAACAACTAATTAAATATAAATGTTCAGAAAAATTTTTTTTAATTTAATAATTTTATACTTACATTCAGGCCGTTTAAATCAGTGAAAAACTGATCACCAGACGCAATGTTTGTGCTTAAGCGCATTGCCAATTCAAAATTTTGTGTCTCAGTAATATCAACTTCATTAGAAATATGAAGACCTAATCCGTCACTACCAGGCGAGTTAAATAACGTATAAGTATGTTTAACATGGGGCAATTGTATAAAAACTCGCGATAAAATAGGCCCTGTGACTAAGTGAATAGTGCGATCATTATTCATATAAATTGGATCGGGTTCTGATTTATCTGGAATAAATAGGTAAGCTCCACTCCGATGATGTCCTATACCTTGAGTTCCATATTTAACAAATTCCAAGTGTACTGGAACAGTAGTTTCTCCAATTTTAATGGCTTTAAGTAATCCAGATTTTGAGAAAGATGCTGAAATTTCTGGACGTTGAGTTATTGAAAATTCTTGTGTTGACGGGAGTACTTTAACGTCCGCAAATCCTGGTACATTTGATGGCGGTATTGCGGTGTTGAATAATGTTATATTTGCTAGATAAACACTTTCTGGTAAATTATTATTATAAACAGAATGAATTAAGTATGTATTGAGCCCGAAACCAGGTAGAGTAACAACAAATGATAATTCATAACGTGCACCTGACATTGCTACTGGACCAACCCAAACAGGTGATATTTGACACTGTACTGATTGGCCCATACGATCGGTAACTCTTACGTAGGGTGTTGATATTATTATTGTTTGAACTTTCGTTCGTTGGCGAGGTAATGAATTATAAATAATAACTTTCTTTGAAGGTTGATCCTTGGAAGGATTTTATCTTAAATTGTTTTTTCCAAGTGTAAGTTTTTGGGGTGGCTGGAGGGGTGGTTTTTGTGTTTTGAGGAGCTAATATATCATTTTTAGGGCTCACTGTCTCTATTCGAAACTGAAAAACCATTTTCAGTGTCAGGAGCAAAAAAAATTTTTTTTTGATTTTCGTTCATAAATGAACGTTCGGAACTTCAGGTACATTAATAATCATAATAATTTAAATTTTAGGATAATGAAGATGAGATTGCTGAATTAATGTTAGCTAGTACAACAATAAAGAAAGATACCATTAATAGAAAAAAAGCTAAACAAGCTCGAGAGTCTGAGAATATTAAACGAATGTATGAAGCTGAAAAAGAATCAGAAGAACGTGCAACAAGTAAATTTAATTGATTATATTTAGAATAAAAGAAGTATTAATTTATTATTTTTAAACTAATAATTTTATTTTTTAGAATTCGCAGAATCTTTTCTTCAAAAACTCCATATAACTTTAGAATCCAGTAATCCAGAATCATTGCGCTTAGTATTGAAATTATACTTGGATTATTATGAAAAATATGATAAAATAACTGAAGGTGTTAATGAGACACGTGAGCAACAAGAAAAAATTAGTGAGTTACTAGATCAACTGGCAATCAATCTGTACAAAGATGTTAACAAAGTGCTTAAAGATTATCCAGAATTGTCAACAGTATTTTTATTATTTTTGAAACCACATCAAGCTGCGATGATCTATAAATCAACAGAACATATGATGTTACAAAAAATGAATGAATTTATAAACGCAGCACAAGTTTATTTTGCTAAACAACCGTCTCGAATGATGAGGGTAATGCAGGCTTTAACGCAATTAGCTGCTGAAGCTAATCCAACATTAGAATTGATTCACGCAACAATGGATCCAATATTGAAAGGTCATCAACTTATTATGGATATGTTTCAACAAGTTTTGCCAACTGGTAAACCACCGCAGAGTTTATTTTCACCGAGTTTATTTGAAAATTTAACTTGTCCAGTTCTACCGCATGATAAAAATCGTATTTTTACTGTTGACTCGCCAGAATTGTATGAAAATATTGAACTACCAACACCAGCCGTACAAGATGATCATTATGGCGGTGATAATTGTAAATGTGATTGTCATGATACTAATGAACCGCATCTAAAAACGCGTATGGAGCATTGTATATCATGCGGAATAAGATATCTTAACGGTCGTTTATATTTACAAACGCCTGAAGGATTGAGACCAGCAAAAGTTGAATTTCCTGGTGACGAAGAAGAAAAACTTGAAAATATATCTCGTGTTTCACTTAAAACAACTGATAAAACTGCATCGACGGCTGTGCCATCGACAAGCAGACGACGCAAGTCGTCGAAGAATGATATAAATACTGATGAGCAAGCTCAAAAACAATGTTCATTGAAGACTTCACCCGTTAAAGACAATGATGACAGTGATAAAGGTATGTCTAAGAGTAAACGTGGTGGTAAATCACCTCCCAAGTCACTTGAACACCGACGGCTATCTAAGTCTGCCGAGAATAATGCTAATTCAAATGTTCCGATATCATCATCATCATCATCCTATGTTACTTCTACGACTAATGAAGTAACTTATCCGCTTAAAAGTAAGCGTGAAAAACGAGCTGAAAGAAGAGAAGCAAAAGCTGAATCTAAAAATTTTGCTTTAGAATTAAATAAACTCAATGAAATACCTGTTGTTAATAATTCAGTCAGTGAACTTAATAAAGAAGTTGAAAGTGATAAAGAAGCGTTGATCGCTGTCAATGATTGTGGTATTGAAAATAATTTAACCTGTGATATTAAAGATAATCCGACTGTTAATAATGTTAATCAAGATGATAATGATAAAAGCAGTTCTATTAATGAATTAATTAGTAATAGTTCATGGACTAGACAAGAGGATTCTTTGCTTCTTCAGCATATTCAGAAAGATTATTCGGAAAGTACTTTTATTACTGTCAGTCAATTGCTGGGAAACCGTACAGTAACTGAGGTAAGGTAAATCCTTTTTATTTATTTTATACTAATTCAAAAAATTTTATTGATACAAACGATTCTCTGTTTTTAGGTGAAAGAACGTTGTCAAGCACTGCTTACGTTACTTGAAAAAATGCTATAATTAATCGATTGAACAAATTTAAAGAAACCGTGATAATTAATAATATTTATAATCATAAAACTTTTTCTAATCATTTAAATTTAGTAGCAATTACGTCGAAGTAACTATAAATGTTTACGCTAAAGAGCGTCGAATAATTATATTACTGCATTTTTTTTTTTTTTTTTTTTTTTTGATATGTTAAACATTCAAAAAATTGGTTAGTCACGCCTCCGGACTAATACAGTCTCCAAAGTATTAATTAGTAGATGAAACAAGTTTTTGTTATGTGTAATGAAGTGGTATAAAATTTGTAATTTATAATTTTTTTACCAATTTTGCTTGCGTTTTTATTTTTGTACATTAATTACCAAATATGTCGCAATATGTAGTTTTCATCTACTAGCTTATTTATGGCAAAAAATACGTCTTTTATATTGTATATAAAACACTATGCAAACAACAAAAAATTGTTAGAAATTATAAAAAATAATTCAGATGAATTAATTTGTATGAAAATTCTTTATTGATCAAATAAATTAAATTTTTTAAAAGTTTAAAATAAAAAATGGTCTAAATGTAGCATTTGTAAACAATAATTTAAACTCTGATTTGTAAAATAATATATTCAACTCATGAAGCTTCAATTTCAGTATTGTCTTTTTTAAGTACTGTGCTATTCTACTTGAAACCTTTTGTTGTAAAAATCCACATCTACACATTCAAAACTAAAACTATTGTGTTGATAAGCCCTTGGATTGTGAGGTAAATTGCGGAAAATTGAAGAAACAGCCACATACTCTGGTTATTTTGTATTCATAGCGACCTATAAGTTGCTGAGGTAAGAAATAAGAATGTGACCCTACAGACCTAGTTGGCCTCGACTGTCGGTTTTACAATAAACACAACCAACTAAGATCCTTTTGTTTAATCTCACCAACAACTTTTACTCATATTAAGTACATCCATACTTTGTCATTTAATATTATATTTCATAACATTATAATAAATTAGCACGCACGTACTTTTCGATGAGCCGTCAATTTGTTTTTTTTTTTTTTTTAATTTGTATCATTGTTGAATGCTACAGTCATGAGAAAATGTAACAACAATAAAAAAATAATCTCTAAAAATAAATTTTTTCTAACAATTATAATTAAGTTGAATACAGTAAGATAATAAGTACACAACTTTACACATACATACAGAAACGCATATTTTAATTAGTTATTTATCAATTTGCACGAAGACTTTTAAAACAATAATAGTAATAAGCAATAAAAATAAAAAATTAAATAAAATACTACGTTGTGGTGCTGTGAACTCGTGGTATTTCCCGTCTATTGGTACACGCTCTCGTAGTACTTATAGTACAAATAACATCGGAAACACGGCCTGGATAACTAAATGAAGTTAGTGATCGAGATGAATGGCGACCGGTTATGATAATCGTTTATATGATAGTTTACTATACTGGAAAATAAAGTAAGTATAAAAGTATTGGAAATACTATAAAATATTTACTACATGAGCCCTGTCATTAAATATTTTATGATGCTGTTTGTTATTTTTATTTTTTTTGAGAATTATCCGAGTAAAACAGGTTTTTTAATTAAAAATTTATATTTGAAGGATGAACATTGAAATCCAATTTAAAATCATTGTGCTGTTAATTCGTAAAAATAAATGTTTTGATGGATGATTAACTAAATTTTCTTAGTTTATTTATTTATTTCTTTTATTTAAACCCAACAGCCGAGAGGGCCAAATAACAGGGTTACTCAATAAATACATAGTTGAAGATAGTAGCAGAGTATGAACAATATTATATAATATAATATATAATATACAAAGGCTCTATATAAACCAAAGCTATAATTCTTAAATGCTAATTATTCTCTTAAATTAATTAATTAATCAATGTATTTACCAGAAGCTAAAAGTAAAAAATAAAATAATAATAATATAGTTCTTTATTAAGCTTTAAGCTACATTTACATATATAAAAAAAAAAAAAAAAAAAAAAAAAAAAAAACATATAAAAGATCTTAGATTTTTTATTACAGATCAACACTTGCTTCCTGTCTATAATTTAAAATTTTTCCTTCTCTTAATAATTTTTTAAACAAAATAATGAAAAAACCATACATATTTATTGTTTTTTGAGCACTCACAGCTCTTGTTCTTTGTACTAGTAGTCTATTTTTGTATCTTGTATTATAATTATGTTCATTATCAACAACAATTCTATTTAAATACTCTGGTAACAAGTTATTTTTCATCTCATATACAAACACACACACATTAAATTTAATTCTTTCTTCAACAGACCGAAAACATAGTGCATCTAGCATACATCTAATTGGCGTATATCTATTTACTCTTAATATTATTCTCATCGCTTTATTCTGACATTTTTGTAATTTTTTCACACATTCCTCATTAATATTAATCAAAAGAGTTGAACAATAATCAAAATACCGAGCGATCATCGATTTATAAATTAATACTTTTGTGTAATCACTTACATAACTACTCAGTCTGTACATCAAATTGATTCTAGTATTAATTTTTTTAATAATATAATATGTATGACTATCAAAACATAAGAATTCATCTAGCATTACGCCTAAGTATTTAGTTTGACTACATTGCACAATCTTTTCCCCTGCTAAAAACAATTCTAAACTTTTAACATTCCTTTTTCTTCTATCTCTAACTAGCAAAATAGATTATAATAATAGGAACAGAAGATAGTTACTCATTCTTAGAGATGATTATGATAAGCTTACATTGTTGAATTCTTGGTGATGCTAGTGTGCCAAATACTGAGAGTATGTAGTATAATCAGCCAGACTGAAGGGTTTATTAATTTTATATTTATTTATATATTTATTTGTTGGTTGAAAAAAAAAATCTATACATATATAAATAGATATATATGGGACATTCTAGGCCAAATCGACCACTTTTGAACCCGACCGCTTTTGATTTGGCTGAAATTTTTTATCCTTTCCTACCCTATAAAAACATTTTTCAGAATTTTTGTATCCAACCAAATATAGTTATGAATTCTAAAAAAAAATGGCTTTTTATTTTTGAAGCAGCTATAGCTTTTTCAAAATTTGACTTGAGACGATTTTTTTTTTAATTTTTGTTTTTAAATGCACTTTTTGAAAAAAAAAAAATTATTCAAAGATTAACATTTTTGAATTTTTTTTCTTCCTCTTATATCAAACTTTGACATTTTCGGCAATCCTCAAATAATATTCAGAGTGGTATTTTTTTTTTTTAATTACAAAAAAAAAATTTTTTTTTATTTAGCTCATTTTTAATAATTTATATATTAATACAGATGAAGAAATCATGGAGCAAAATGTTCTATTTGTAAATAAAAGAGGGAGTTGAACTTGATTTTGTTTTGTATAAGCGGGTGTACATATATATATTACGACAATCCAGAGCGTGTTTGTGGCTTTTTCTCTCTGTTTATTGTTCCCTGTTCCTCGCGAATTTCCGGTTGCGTGTCATCATAAGCATCAAGACTATATCGTTCTGTTTCTATGTACTTATCCATGTATTGTACTACTAACGATAATTTTAAGCTTTTATTTACATACACATAACAATTAAGAACGGCTGCGATTTTTTTTACATTTACTTATGTCTATATAATAAAAATGAAGCATTTTGTTTTCAAATTATTTTAATAATTTCGTTTATGATAACAGATCTGAATATTTAAAATCATGAAGATGATCTATTTATATTTTCAATAAAATCTTTTTTTTTATTATTCACAAATGCTACAAGTTAAAAATTAAAATTTCTGATTCCCGTACAAAAAAAATTTTGGTTCCGGATGAACTTCAGATTGTGAAACAAATGTGAATTTTATAATGAATTTCAGCTGGAATTCCAGATGAATTTCATGATGAATTTGAAACAAATAGTATATGAAACTTAATTATTTTAATTTGTGAAATAATATTTGGAGACAGTTATATTGGAATTTTTAGTGTAACTTACGTTGACTCATTATTTACGATTCTTAAACTTCTGTCTGGATAAATTTTTTGGAGTAGAAGATCACAATATGCACAATAATATTTTGTAATTCATCATGAAAGTCAGCTGGAATTCCAGATGAATTTCATTATGAATTTGAAACAAATAGTATATGAAATTTAATTATTTTAATTTGTAAAATAATATTCGGAGTCAATTATATTGAAATTTTTATTATTATTTACACTGACTCATCATTAACAATCCTTAAACTTCTATCTGGATAAATTTTTTGGAGTTGAAGGACACAAAATGCAAAATAATATTTCGAGATTCATCATGAAATTCATCTGGAATTCCAGCTGACTTTCATGATGAATTACGAAATATGATCTTCCATAGTGTGTTCTTCTACTCCAATAAAATTATCCAGATCGAAGCTTAAGGATCGTCAATGATGAGTCAGTGTAAATAAAAATAAAAATTCTAATATAACTGTCTTTGAATATTATTTCACAAATTGAAATAATTAAGTTTTATATGCGATTTGTTTCAAATTCATCATGAAATTCATCTGGAATTCCAGCTGACTTTCATAATGAAATTCATATTTGTTTCACAATCTAAAGTTCATCCGGAACCAAAATTTTTTTTTGTACGGGTTGTTAATTTCTATCAGTTAATTTTTATGATATTATTCCTTGAACATTGATCGAGATTAAAATCGAAATTAGAAAATTTTAATTTTTTATGCCAGAACATGTGTTAGATTAGAACTTTGTAATGAATATATAACATAAACAATAGTATACACTTTAGCATTAATGAAACATTTAGTTGTGGTTTTGTGTTGATGCAATATTGAATATTTAATTTAAAAACTCACTATAAAATGTTACTCCATTTATTCTCCTTCCGCATCTCGGCATAATTGAGTTGATGTTGCTTCATGTTTAAATTGATATTTACATTCTAGATCATACTACTAAAGTTTCATACAAGATATCAATAAA